TTAAACTCTCAAAAAACATATAAATGCAAAATATTATGAGAAGTTTTTACCTTTGGTTGAGGGAGAATGGAGGGAAGGTGGCATTTGAATCTGTTTTCAGATTTTAGTGATATATTTTTTATTTTAAATGCTGCTGTTGCTCAAAAAAAATCCAAACACTGATAGAGTTGATTCTGATTCATAGCAAGCCCATAGGACAGAGTATGATTGCTCCTATGAGTTTCTGAGACTGTAAATCTCTATAGGATTAGAAAGCCTCATCTTTCTCCCTCAGAGCACCTGGTGACTTCGAAGTGCTGACCTTGAAATTAGTTGCTTACAGTGTCACCCACTATACCACCAGAGCTAGTTTTGGAAAATTCGAAGGCCACAAAGAGAATATAAAGTACAATCCCAATCCATGTTACAGGTCCCAGAAAACAGTTAACAATTTGGTATGTACCCTTTGAGCACCACTGTGCTCTATAAATGCATTATTGCAAGTGATAAATGTATTATGACTCATACTGGGGAGCATATTATGTGAACTGACCTGTGAGCTATAGACCTTGTGACCTCAAGACTAAGAATTCGGGATTTCAAGTCAGAGGGGTGGGGTTTGAATCATCATGCAGCTTGGCACTCCAGTTTCCTTGTTTGCAATACTGGTCGAATAACAGAATACACCCTACAGAGAATTGTTACAAAAAATAAATGCGGGGTTGAAAATAAAGTGCTTAGTAGAGAGCCCTCAAATGCTAGATTAAAAAAAAAATCTTGACCCAGCATGGACAACTGGTGTGGTTACTAGTGTTGCCTTAACCCAGACTCAAGAGGGTGGCTTAAAGGACAGGAAGTCAGTGTGCCATTGCTCAGGAAGCTAGAAGTCCATTCCGGGCACCTGCTCCAGGACAGGTTCGCCTTTATTGGCAATCCTGGGAGCTCCTTTGCATTCCTTGGCGTCTGTCTTCCCCTGCACCACATGTGTGTCTTTCAGTGTCTGTTCTGCTATTTTTGAACAACTCTCAGAAGTAATTCGGTTCGGGATCCCTGGGCCCCTTTCTTTAGTGTGAGGTTACTAATCTAGCAACAGAAAACTCCCATTCCCAAATCAGGTCTAAGTTAACCAATTACTGTTGGGTTGATTCTGACCTGAGGCAACCATCTATGTCAGCACAGAACGGTTTTCCACACATTTTCTTTTTGTTTCTCCACATACTTTCTTTTTAAAAAAAACATTTTATTGGTGGCTGGTTCAACTCTTATCACAATCCATCCATCCATCCATTGTGTCAAGCACATTTGTACATTTGTTCCCATCATCCTCAAAACATTTGCTTTCTACTTGAGCCCTTGGTAACAGCTCCGCACTTTTGTCCCCTCCCTGTCCCACTCTCCCTCCCTTTTGAACCCTTGATAATTTATAAATTATTATTATTTTTCATGTCTTACACTGTCCGATGTCTCCCTTCACCCACTTTTCTGTTGTTTTGTCCCCCAGGGAGGGGGTTATATGTAGATCCTTGTGATCGGTTCCCTTTTTCTCCCCCACCTTCCCCTTCCCCTCCTGGAATCACTACTCTCATTGTTGGTCCTGAGGGGTTTAACTGTCCTGGATTCCCTGTGTTTCCAGCTCCTGTCTGTACCAATGTACATGCTCTGGTCTCCACACATTTTCAGTGTCTGACTTTTCAGATGTAGATTGCTAGATCTTTCCTTTGGTGGCTCTGCGTGGACTTGAACCTCTGTTTAGCAGCTGTGTGAATTAACGAGTGACTGGGATCTTTCTTGATAATGCTTATGCACAGAGTTTTGAGTGCTGATGAAGCCCAATTTCCCTCGTTTTTCTTCTAGCGTTTGTGCCTTTGCTGTCATGTCTAAGAATCCATTGCCAAATACAATGTCATGAGATTGCCTCTCTCTCTACTTTATCATATTTAGGTTGGTGATCCATTTTGACTTATTTTTTTTAATACTGTGTGAAATGTAGACTAATTCCTATTTTTCTCCTTGTAGGTAGAAAATGTGTAAGTTTAGACAACCTCTCTTAACTATGGGTTATTAAAGAAGAGAAATTAACTCAGGTACACTATGATTTCCTACTACTTCCTTTCCATGCTCCTTCTAAACTTACATATTTTTTTCTGTAGTTCATTTTAATCACCTTAAAAACATTTTAAACTTCCAGCTGACTCCGATGGTGACTTTGACACTACCAAATTCCATAACATTTACAATCTGTTCTGAACAGTATACTGTCTTTTTACTCTTTTTGTAAAGACACCAGGCATAATTGATTAGTGCTCATCCTACTCCAGCATGATCTCATGCTAATTTAAACAACATCTTTAAAGACTATTTCCAACCCAGCTCACATTCCCAGATACTGGTATTTCAGGCTTAAACATATCTTTTTAGGAGACCTAACCCTCTAGGTAGGCAAAAATAGTTGGAAATTTTTATATTAGGGAAAACATAAGATGGAAGTTAACAGTAAAACATTCCAGTCTAGATAAGCAGTCTTTATCCATTTTTAGTTTCTCTCTCACTATCATCGATCACTATTGTTGTGGTGATGTCTATTGTGTCCCTTGGTGACAGCAGGAGGTTGGTTCCAGGACCATTCTCCCCAATACCCAAATCTGAGATAACTCAAAGTCCCTTATATCCAATGAGGTTGAATTATGTGTGACCTCACACCCCTCCTGTACAATTTAACTTACTTCTTTGTTGTTGTTCGATGTTGTTAGGTGAGCTGGTCCCTAGTCATAGTGACCCCGTGGACAAAAGAACCAAATGCGGCCCGGTCCTATGCCATCCTCAAATCATGGGTCTGTTTGAACCCATCGTTACAACTCTACATTGCATATTGTACCCAATACAATGGCAATGCTATAGATGTAGCACTTTATGCTCCCTTTTAGCTATAAGGGATAGTTTTGACCACTTCATTGCTTTTTAGAAGCCTTTCTATCACAGATACAAAGGGTGTACACAGGGCAAGTATTAGACACAGGAACCATGAGGGGAATGATATTCTAGCAACACGTAGAGGAGAGAGTCCGAGGATTCGTGAAACGGCCGTACACTGCAGCGGGGCATGCCTGCTATCAGCTTATTCATGGGAGTCAAGCACAATGTGGCAAATGGCAAGTTTTGCTTTTTTGGAGTTTTCTGGAATTAAAAACAACAACAACAACAAAATCCCCAATAGCTTTCCATCTGGGGGTAGTTCAACCCGCAGGTGGGGAACCTGCAGCTACAGAGGGCTGACTGAATATAAAAGTTTTAGAACCGCTAGTATTAACGATCTATGCTACTTAAGCCTTGGCCACTTATTTATTCACTCACCAAACATGTATTGACCCACTATGTTGCACAGGGAATTCTGTTTCACAGTGTGTTTGGCGAGTGCACGCGGTAAAAGCCCTTGCTACCATCACGGAATTTTTGGTCTAAGTGCAGAACCACCACTTACCGTTACGGAAACTAAGGCTATTTTTTTCTCCCAGCAGACGATGATTTTCTTATCTAACTCAGAGTATCCATTTTTCACGTGTAGAATTCAATTTCCTTCCTGTCTAGATATGTGATAGAGGCTTTCTACAAGTTGCTTCCTGCCTCCACAGGGCTACACATACCGGCGGGTGACATGCTCTTGCTATTTAGAAGGTTCATGGCATACTTTTGAACCTTTGAATAAATGTCATTATATAACTGTCACTTGCCATTATCACAGAAGCATCCAGCGGTGAAAAAGCATTTTAAGTATAGTCTAGTATTCTCACCTCAAATAAAATCGTACCCTTCTTTGTTGTGCATAAGAACGTTTAGCTACCGTTACTTGTATCCCATGTGCTTGGTGAGCACTTTGAGTTAAACTGGCCTGTATGTTCAGAGCTGTTCTACCTCTAGAGCTTTAATTGGTGGAAAGGAAAACTACCATTTGGTCTAAGCAAATAGAAACAATTCTAAAACATTCCATGTTTAGTTTTTCTTCTTTAACTCTTACTGTGATGCCTGTAGTAGGGTAAGTGACAAGACTAGAGGAAATACTTATTAGAGAGGGAACGAAAAAGAACACATCATTCTAATTCCATTCGTTTTTATGTCCTGTCCTGGTGGTGTAGTGGGTTCCCGATTGGGCTGCTAACTACAAGGTTGGTGGTTCAAACCCATTAGCTGCTTCAGAGGAGAATGATGAGGTTTTCGATTCCTGTAAAGATTTACAGCCTTGGGAACCTACATGGGCAGTCCTACTCTCTGGATATCATAATTTAACAACTACCAAAATTTCCAAAATTGTCATTCATAAATTTCCCAAATTGGGAGCATAATAAACTTCCATGTCAATATATGCTACATATAGAAATTGCTATATACTATATATTGCTGTACAGTAATATTTTTCATCCCTTTGGTGACTGGTCTGTCTCACTTGAGTACTCAAACCAAACCCACTGCCACTGACCTGATACTGACTCACAGTGGCCCTATGGACTGTTCTCTGGGGTTTCTGAGGCTGTAAGTCTTTACGGAAGCAAAGCGGACTGATTCATCTTTTTCCCATGGAGCAGATGGTGGGTTTGAATTGCCAAATTTTAGATAGCAGTCCAGTGCGTAACTAGCTTAGATTACATAAAGGAAGGTTCCAACTTTAGAAATGGGTTGTTTCTTAAAAGCACATTGGTGATTTTTGCAGGTTGGGTCATATTTTACCATCAGATGGTATGGCTATCATGTTGGTTAGTTAATTGTGTTTGGTACAACTCCTCATGTGAAATGACTTTTCATTTCTCCCTTGACTTTCTTCATTCTCCAAACGCTTTCTTTCTTTTCAAAGTTGACTTTCCTCACTGAGGTTTTGGGCAAAGCACTGCATAATTAAGCTCCATGTCTCTTCTGGAAAGTAAACTGTCCTTTGAAATAATACTTCTACCATTGACTGTGCCGAAACGGAAAATATAAAAACAGTTTACATCCGGAGCCTGGCCGAGTGCTGGCGACGCGGAGCTGCAGGATTGCTTCGAGATGGCAGGGGTGGAAGAAACCCTGAAACGACTGCAGAGCCAGAAGGGTGTGCAGGGGATCATCGTGGTGACCACGGAAGGCATTCCCTTCAAAAGCACCATGGACAACCCCAGCACCCCACAGTACGCCAACCTCATGCACACCTTCATCTTGAAGGCAAGGAGCACTGTGCGAGAAATCGACCCCCAGAATGACCTCACCTTCCTGCGAATTCGTTCCAAGAAAAATGAAATTATGTTTGCACCAGATAAAGACTATTTCCTGGTTGTGGTTCAGAATTGAACCGAATAAGCTACTCGGCTCCTTATGTTAGTCCTTAAATTAATCTTCCTGCACCCAAGCGTTAATCATGCCAATCCACTACAAATGGAGCCACACACTCGAGCCAATCCAGTGACCGAGGGAGAGCTGCTGCCTCGCCCACCCCACCTGTGGAAGGAACGCTCTGCTGCACCTGTGGCTGCTGAGGTCCCGCTGCTGGGCCTTCTTCCCGAGACCCCTCTCATGGCACCTGGGGATCGGAGCAAGCGCTGTGAGGAGCCCCCACCTGCTTCTTCCTGACCTTCAGTTCACCTGTTGCCCTTGGTAAAGTCTGTTTTTCTTTACCTAAAAGCTTGCTTATCCTGCTGTTGTGTTTTTAAATACTAGGGTACGAAGCCCTCACTCTTCCTGGGTAGCCTCTTGGTCTGTGACCGGCCGCTACCTCCTGGCCCATGGCCCCACACTCACTGAGCTTAGCCTGGTATATCATCGGTGGCCCTCCCACAAGCTCACACTCACTGCCCTCAATGCGATGCCTACTCATAGTGACCTTCTAGGACGTGGTAGAGCTGCCCGCTGCCCCGGGGGACTCTGAGGCTGAGTCTACGGGAACAGAAGGCCTTGTCTCTCTGTCCCCCAGGAGGCAGTTGATGGGTTCAGACTGCTGACGTCCACCACCAGAGTCCCTTTCATGTTATTTTCCACTCCCACCAATGCTTTGTTTTTTAAATCATTTTATTGGGGGCTCATACAATTCTTATCACAATCCATCCATCCATCCATTGTGTCAAGCACATTTGTAGCCCTCATCATTCTCAAACATTTGCCTTCTACTTGAGCCCTTAATATCGGCTCCTCATTCCCCCCCCCTCCCCTGATGAACCCTTCATAATTCATAAATTATTATTTTGTCCCCCCAAAATAGTTTACATTGTAGAGTCAGAGGAAAGGGTTCTACTTTTATTCCCCCCTCCCCCATCTCAGCCCCTAACTATCTCCACAATGCATGATCAGAAAACTATATATTTGGAAATGTTTTTTTTTTTACAAATAATTACTTAATAAAGAAGAATGAGGATTAAAACTCCACTGGCATATCAAAGTGTGTAGGCTAAAGATGATTTGGAGGGGAAGGTCAAGATTAGAAACAAACTGTCATTGTGTGGGATGTATGATTACAGTTTGGTAAGACATTACAATTGATTCTCCCCTAAATACTTAAATGAGAGAAAGATGGGCTTCCTCCTCCTAGAACAGTTAGTCTCTACCCTGCCCTATAGTGTCACTATGAGTCGGCATGGGCTCCATGCAGTGAGTTTGTTTTTTTGGTTGAAATATTAACATACTTCAAATCTAGTAGTATAGGAGAATTAACTCGATTATACAGGGCTGCTGAGCAAATCTAAAGCTGTATAAAACACTGTGAAGTGATTGTCATCCATATTCTCTAACACTAGTCCTGTAGACATTTTCCAGTTAGTATTTGGAGAACACAGTTAAAAAAAAAAAGGAAATCTTGGTAAGGATAATTCTTCATTCTAAATTTGCATGTATTTGAAGAAATAATCTGGGGCAAAATATCTTCAATATTAAGTAGCATTGACCTAAGTTTCTTGATTTGATAAGTTTGATGTTCATGTTCAACACACATACACACACACTGTATAATTGGTGATGATTATATGAAGTTTTTAAATTTGTTTTGCTTTCATACCAAATTCTTAGGAAAAGGTTGAACAGTTGGATTACTTAGTGCCAGCCAGAAACCACAAACCAGAACTGTGGTTTCAAGTTCAAAGAAATGTCTTGGGAGTTCAAGTTTCTCTTTTCAGGGAGGTTGCTTGGGGAAAATGTCCCTGGAAGTAGACAATATTTTAGGGTGGAATAATATCTCATCTGAACCTTCAATCGCATTCATTGTTTGTATTCAAACTGATTACACCACAGTGCCTAGCCCAACAGTTATTCGCTGAATTAAAAATGTTAAAAATTATTGTTTGCTTTACACAATTGATGTATGTATGGATTATGATAAGAGTTGTATGAGCCCCAATAAAATGATTTAAAAAAATTTTGTTTACTGAACATAAACTGTGACTGGGGGAGAGGTTACATAAAAACAGTGGCAGACAGACAGTTCCTGCTCTAGATTTTTAAGTCTAACCACACTTACATAAGTGCAAAATATTGTCTTCCTTGTGTCAGTCCCCAAGATAGCTGCTTTGCACTAGGAGTTAGCATTTTTCTCAGAAAGGATGAATCACTGAACTGATTGCTTTAGGTGTTTATCCTGTTAGTCCTTTAGGCCTTCAAAGTACCAAGTGACGTTGACTGGGTAAATGGTTGCTCGGTCCCAGGACCTCGGATAAAATCTAATTGGTCAATTACTGCTGTGTTCAGGGTTGGTCTGGGATGGTTTCTAGTGCTTTTAGGTTGGCAAATGTATGAAAACTTGCACGTTACATACTTTCCCCAGGCCATTTGTCAAAAGATGTCTGACCTCTACTTTTGTGTGATTTCAAATGTGTGCTGACAAAGTGTTAGTCAAATGCTAGTACTATGTTCCCAAGGAGGTCACCATGCGTGCCCTATCTGGAAGGTGTCCTAAGGAGAGAGAGAGATAGAGTGTGTGTGTGTGTGTGTGTGTGTGTGTGTGTGTCTAAGAGAGTTGATGTCCTCAGAATCCTTCTTTCCTATTTGTTCTTTGCCAACTAGCTGTCTCTCCTCCCTACAGCTGATTCAGAACAAAACAAAACAAAGCAAAGCAAAACAGACCTGCACAGACTGACTGATGGAATCGCTAAGCCCAAGGCGTGGTCGAAGACACTTGTCCATGGTCCTGAACGCATTCTCGTCCCACTACTCCTTCACCGGTTTGGGGGGATGCCGTAAGCTCCGGAGCAGACGCCCTCGGCGTGGTCCTGTCCCCCGGGAAGAAGCCCCAGGCCCACCCGGCCCGAGTCCCTCGCCGATGCCCGCTGCGGTTCGGACCGGTCTCGGGCGCGGGTGCGGGGCTCCCCGAACTGGGCACCTGTTTTGAATCCCGGCGCGAGGCGCGGTGGGGGCGGCGGGGTGGGGGCGGGGTGGCGTCACGTGCCGGCGGGCGGCCGCGGCGGCGACCCGGG